CTTTGGCAAACGTGCGTTCGTTTTCTCGAATCTGATCATGCAGCGGCAGTGTTCTTCTCCCTCGAAAATTATAGAAACAGTAAAAATTTTTTCGTGACTAGATTTACGAGACTACGGGCTTGTAAATTGAAAGCTTCTCTTTACAAGGCCGATTATTTTTAAACACGGTTGAAAAAACTAAACCTACCTGAAGGTTTGTTTCACTCATTAAATATTATATCTTGATATTTTCATCAAGTTTGTATATTATATATTACATTATACTCTTGCAGTTTCAAGTTTTCCACAAATGAAAATCTGCAGTCTAGTGATGGGTTCCTTAAAATGTTACTAATAATTGTGTAATATGTATATAACAGAAAAAATATATTTTTTAAAGAAAGGATTTGTTACATTTTTAATTATACAAGATAGGAATTGATTGAAAAATTTTATTTAATTAACTTTAAGCTGTTTTACCTTTTTTAGTTCAACGTTATATTTCCTGAAAATGAAAGCTCCTGGAAAAAAATTTTTATATTCGTAGAGTAGTAGACTTTTTATATTCCTATATAATAGTAGACTCGTCTGTATTGATTAAATAAATTGTTTTATTTTCTTGAAAATACTGGAAAATTGACTTTTGGATCAAAAATTATTTTCTCAGTATGTGACTGCCGGCAATCCAGTATTTTTGAAATTTCTTGTATTTCTTTAATTTTAAATTTAAATATCGAATATAATGAATATAAGTATACTGATGGTTCAGTGAATCACGCAGTTAGAACAATAACCAAAATATGATTGTAAATATAAAACAAAGTAAATATTATTTACATTGTTCGTCCTCCACTGACTTTAATAAATTTGAAATACAAAGGTGGACAAAGTTATTTGAATACTCGTTGAAAATATTTTAAACTGTTTAAACTTCATAAAACAAAATTATACAACATTCGTCAAACATTCGAAAATCCAAATTCGGTTCTAGTATTCTAAAATATACACACAATATACTAGTAACATATGTAATATTCAATATTTTCCCTCTAATTTTTTAGACATCTATATTCGTCTAAGTGTTCTCGATTTGCATTTATTTCGTATATCCAGGTTGATATACATATATTGTTCTGAACCGAAAATGTTGCAAAATTTTCTGCATCTGTTGTTTCAGATTTCACATTCCATTATTACATATAAAATGATGTACGACTAAATTGATCAACATTATACAAAAGTAATATTCATGATATCACGTACTAGCATAGAAAACGTGGTAATACATAATATTGTGTTACGTGATAATAATATATTTTCTCCTGAAATGACCTTGAATTAATTGTGCGAGGTTTAATTTTGCATATCATGTATTAAAATAGCAAATTTAAAAAAATGTATGTTAATATATACTTGTAACGAAAGGAAGCGATAAAGCCCTGCGCACGATTCAAAGAAAGATGGCGATCCGCATCGTGAAAGCATACCTCACAGTCTCACATGACGCGGCGCTCACTCTCGCCGGCATGATCCCGTTCTCCATACTAGCAAAAGTGGACGCGAGCATCTTCCATCAAGTGCGACTAGCAGAAGACAACGGAGAAACTACCACGAAAGTGGACACGATGCGAATGCGTCGCCAAGCGCTGCAACTAGCCCCACAAAAATGGAAGCAGAAAGTGGAAAATGGCTACACTGTGAAGCCAGCCATTAGAGCGGTCCTCACACATTGGGAACAATGGATGGTCCGAGGGACTGACTGAGGTACTAACATTCAAGATCACGCAGGTACTCACCAGGCACGCGTGCTTCGGTGACTACCTGCATTGAATAGGAGCCGAAGCAATAGCGGCATGCGCAGAATGCGGTGCCGATACTGACACGATACAGCATACCATCGAAGAATGTCCAAACGTCCGGGAAAGAAGAACACTGAAAGATGCGATTGGTGCAAACCTCTCGCCGACGGCACTCGTCAGTACAGCAAAAAGGAGGAACCGCAATCACTCGCTTCTGTGAAGAAGTGATAGTGTCCAAGAAAGCAAAAGAGAGAAACCGAGAATCATAAGAACCGGTAAGACAGGAAAGGCGGCGGAGGCGCACAGGCGCCAAACGACATCACAAGAAACACCACGGATTAAGGACAAAACCTGAAGTCCTGGACGAAACACAAGAAGATGCGGCCTAGCATTGACTGCCGGTGCCGCGAAACCCACCCTAACCAGGATGAAGCGAGGACAACATCCTCCAAAGAGCAGCATAACAGGCTAATGACAGAGAAGCACCGGAAAATATTCCGGTCCCGGGGCTTCCAACAAGTACAGAAAGTAGGCCACTGTGGAGTCGGTAAGAATCCGATATTACCTAGCCTCTCCACCGGGGACTAGGTGTCTTAGGCAAGATTTCCTCCACGTAAAAGAAAAAAAAAAAAAAATACTTATAAAACATAGGAACATTTCTAACCTTCACTGGTATGGACCAGATATCTCCTCCATATTGGTCGTGGTGACCACTACTGGTCACCACTACGAGACATCTCACTTCATAATTACGCTGCCACAATTCCACTGTCGAGTTATCCCGCATTACAATTTCACTCTTACGGTGTTATTGACGAGACATCTCGCATCGCAATAGTTTTTGCCTTGCAATGGAGACGACATCTTGTATTCTATCAATACCATGGAAAACAATAACAATATTTTGCATTTTTTCTAATAAAACATGAGATAACTCACATTACCAGTGTCATCAAAGCGAAATTATGAAGAGATAACTCGTCAGTGATGTTGTAGAAATGGTGTTATGAAAGAATGTTACTCATCGAATGGTATTGCAACCGATAATGTTGTGGTGACATATTTCGCCCAAACAAAAGGAGCAGGAATCGAAATTTGAGAGACCGAAAAAAACCGAATATTATTTGACGGATATAGCAAACATCTATAGTAAAATATAATAAAGTGTAATAAAGCAAAATATAATCTATATAATAAAAAATATAGAAAAATATATAAAGATATAAATATTACATTAGATCTCTTTATTTGGCTGCTCGAATTTACGATTAATTATTATTTTTCCGAAATATTTTGAATCCTTTCTTGTTTAATCTCTTTTTTGTCAAAGTATAGAAATTACTTCATAACCAAAGATAGCTGCGTCACGTTGCTATAGAACCTGTTTTCTGCCGTAAAGTAAATGTAAAACGCAGTACATTAACGGCGATGAATGCTCGTGGATCAGATAAGTTATTCGAGGAGAAAAGACTACCATTAATCAATTAAATAAATAAATAATTTTGCATTTAATAAGAAGGAACGAATAAGTTCAAACATTGAAATATTTTTAACATGCAAATCATGCATAATCATGCAAATTTCGCATACGATTTAAAGAATAGTTGCAACTTATTATGTAAATTATTGTCCAGTACAACGAATCAAAGGTTCATGTACAAAACAGATATTATTTTCCTCTATATAATTCTGTGTTCAGATATAGTGTTTAGAATATAAAATCGAAAAATTCAGAGGAGATTTTTTAGACGGATTGTTAAGGCGAGCAAGGACGGAATTTATACCGTTTCTAGAAATTTTATATTTCTTAATGCATTAGAGCGCAGATATTAGATTTTCTACCAACACTGTTACCAACGAACGACCCTCTACAGTCGGTCCTTAGGATGAACCTATGAATATATTGGGAAAGTGAAAGTTGCACTTTCCACCAAAATTTCCTTCCGCAGCATACGGTGCTCGGTATATCCTTCCTAGATAGTTTTCCTGGAGAGGGAAATATCCAAGTCTTCATCGCAGAGAATTTTGGAGGTAGATACGAAAAGGATACTCATCGAAAACAAAAATGGAATGGATAGACACAGACTCTAGTCAGTAGAGATTAGAAAAAACGTTAATCGGGAGCACGAGATCAGAAAACCTCGAGATTCCTCAGTACACGTCGACTTTGGTAATTCGGTCTCACATTGTCGCTGATAATCCTTGGGATGCAGGGGGTTCATCGCACACAAGTGCGATATGCAAGTCTAGCGCAAGACGGCTTGATCAAGTTAGACTTAACATTTGATCCTACGAACCGAATTGGTAGCGTTAGACTTAACATGGATATTATTCAATATTAGAATAATAAATTTAATTGATAATTACAAGTGTAGCGGCCTAGAGTCCCTCGAGTACGAGTTTCGAACACCGACTTCTACAAGCCGCAAGTGACTGTGCGCCTAGCGTCGATCGAAGTCTAGCGATATTCGATGTTAAGCAAACACCCGCTAGGATGGGTGACCGTCTAGCCTAGCGCGAGTAGTTATGACAAGCGTCTGGGGTCCGCCCCACTGATGAGTCTAGGCAGCGACTCTGAGACGAAACGCACAACCTTTCCTCACCTTACCCATCACCAAAATCCTATCCTTCCATTCCACTTCCCCCATCCTCGCACTAAATGTAACTAATGTAAATATGTAAATAGCATAGTCAGTTACGCCCTTCACAAGTAACACTAATTTTAAATAAAAATGTTTTAAACAAATTAGAACTGATTTTTAATGAAAATTAAGTTAAGTAAAGTTTAACCACATAGAATGAACTTATGTACTAAAATAAGCATAATACTATAAATTTATACATCTCTAAAACTTAATAATTTTTTAAATGTTGAAATTTCTGGTCATTGGTTCATTGAAGTATGTATTTCATTGTGGTAAATGTACATGTCGTTTGCAAGGATAAGTAGTAACTTGTTGCATGTCGTTATTAACTATACTATCAGAAACGACTGCTCATCAGACGACTATCGTAAAAGAAAAAAAACATTAATTTTAATAGAATATATGAATAAAAAGAATATTTAAAAATTTGTCTCAGTACAATATTCAAAGATTGTTGATGTTGGAAATAGTATATATATTTCATCATTCAAAGTAACCATAAATACTTAATATTGAATCATTAAAATTTTAAAAATTAGATATATGTATATGTAGGTATAATTATACATACCAGAACATTCTCTTTTTATTCTCATAATATTATTTATACTCTATGTGTTAGCGCAATAATATTCTTAACAAAATTTCGACAAAGTTTTTGATTCATCATCCAAAGCAATATTATCCTGAAGTGGTCTGGAAATCATTTTCATCTGAAAAACAATAAATGCACTTTGCTACAGGTATTGAATGATTTATTAATACTAATTCTTGTACATTTATGTTTACTGTGCGAAATTGCTGTGTAAGTATAGCTTGATTGTAATACTACGTATACAAATATCTCGACATTATGAAATTTCTTATATTTTTTAGATATCAGGCAAAAAATGCAGTGAACAAAAGTTCGTTCGAAGTGACTACCTCTGAACAAAATATTATTATGCACACAGTAATAATAAACTCATTAAAAGCTTGAAAATGAAGTTGGTACATGTTTTGCTCAGTATACGATATTTCTGCAAATAATATATGTGCAAGAGTGTATTGAGTTACTGAATTTAAGTATTACTGTCCAAGCATTTTTTGCATTACACACGAGCAGATTAAATTGCATATGCTTATACGTTAATTCATTCTTATCTTGAAGATGGTTTAAGTATCTGAAACACTTTTCATTCATTAAACTTTATATTAGCGTTAATATACGCACTGGTAATATTTAAAGTAGTACGATCTTTCATCCTCGAATACTATTTTAACTGATAACGCAGAGTTTGGCACAGGATGGCACACTGTGACTGCGTATGTAAATACTTGAAGAACACAATGTTAAATTCCAGATTTAAAACAATGGTTAATTTGAGGTTTAAAACAGTAATTAAGACATAAAGTTGCAACAATTCTTGATGAAATGTTTGACAAAATAATAACAAATCTTTGAGTCTAGATTCGAGCAGAATAATGAACATATTAACCATTTACAAAAAAATGTAATGACATTGTAACATATTGGAATTGATATGAAGAATTGTAGATTGAAAATTTAAAATGTTTTTCTATTCTAAGAATCTTTCAAGTTTCCATTCCTAATCATGTACTTTATTACTGTTTACAGTATATTCTTTCTCCAGGAAAATATCCGATGGAGTTAATTATGTCATCATTATGGATACTTTTCTCTTTCTAAGCAGTGTAGTAGTATACATTATTTATATATATTATCTAATACAACGTATATTTAAGGAAAGTCAGAAATTCTTTTATGCTCCATAAGCACGCAAAATAATTTTTAATTATTAGTATTTAATGTTACGGTGTTTTTTTTTTTTAATTTGAGCCATTATGAAACTATTCCAATGTATATAGCAGTCCTATAATAATTTTTATCCGAGATATTAAAACAAGAAGAGTTTCAAAATAAAACTATTTACGTTTCTTTCTTTTTTTACAGTGGATCAAGAAAGAATTTACACAACTTTCTAATCTACTTTCCTTAAAAATCTTTTTATACTTAGATAATTTCTTAATATTTGACGACTTTAGTGACTCTCACCCCATATATATTTAATGATGTAGCATAAAAAATATTATGAAAGAAAACAAAAATTATAATGAAGAAAATGTTGATAGAAATTATTGCTTTTACTTTAATTAAAGAACCTTACCTTATATATCGTTATTGTTTGTTATTCATCTACAATTTGCATTTATTTTATGTTCTTTCTGAAACATCCTGAGAAATTGTTCTATCTGGTCTGTATGATTCATTATTTGTTGTAACTAGTCTTCATCGATTCCATCGACTCGTACACAATTTCGCTGCACCATGTATATCGTGTAACATGTCTATCATTTTAATTTCCGTTGACGGAACAATTTCAGTATTCAATTCAGTATTAGTCCTCCTCAATACGAGTCCTTTTCCGTCAGAGTGGAAAATATTGAATTTAATCACATCAGAGAATAATATTATTTCTAGTAAAGATTTCTAAATTGAGATTTACTATGCAGATTCATACTTTGGAGAATGTAATTAATTAATAAATGTGGTAGAAAGCTATTTTATACGGAGACTATAAAAAGCATTATATTTTGACAATTCTATGTACTTTTTTTATATTATGTGCATCCTGTGCAACTTTGCATTATAGTATGTCATATAAGTACTTCAGCAGTCTACTAATGAAATTATTACTACTATTCTTACTACTATTCTTCATCATTAGATATTGAGATCTCTTTTAACAAGTTTTTTTTACAATACGTTCTTCACTTACAATAGTTCTGTACACATATACATGTATATTTTTCAAGTTCCCTGACCGTTAAAATCACAGTTATAGACATGATATTTCAGAATTATACTTACATGCATGACTCTTTAATGATTTATGAATAACTTTATCCATACATTGATCGATATATTGATCGTTAACGATGTGTCTATTTGAATAAAAATCATAAAAAATTAACTTCCTTATTGTTTATATTTATTTATAATTATTAATGTAATTATAAATATAATATAACTTTTATTATTATATTTATAATTATAAATATTTACTAATTATTTACTATTGTTTACAATTCTCATTACATAACATTTATTCTATGTATTGTTTACTTGTTTTTTGCTTTAAGTATTTGTATACATCCCAAAAGATATACCATAATTATCATACAATTATTATTTCAATAAATAATATATGTTACATGTTATAAATGATAGGATTATAAATTAAGTTACATAAGAATAGAATTTTATTAAAATAGAATTTATGATGTTCAAAAAATAGGTTGTCAAATTTTGATACCTTATTCTAATGTTACTAACACTAAATAAGATCATAAATAAATAGAGGGCCAAAAACGATATTATGATAATGTAAAGCACATTCGAGAAGAAAATTATTTCTCAATTCGCAATTTGCTACATAATCTAAAAATGTTTTAGAATAAAATGAATAATGTAATGTACATGTTTTAAAAGTAGAGGCTTCAGACTATAAAGTTTATATGAGTTTAAGGTTTCTTGTTACACGATTTATTAAAGTTAAGTTTATTATTATATGATAATTTATAACAAATTACGACAATTTCAATATTTCTCAATATTAATAGAGATATCTCACTATATGTAAATGTTGCTTCTGCATCATAGTCGGAAAAATTGATTTCACACTATTTATTTTCTTGGAAAGTATCCGTTTATTCTACCTATGATTATTCTTTGACGAAGAAGTATATTGAATTATGTTATTAATTTTAAATGCTTGTAACAGTTAATTATAATGCAATTGCACATAAATAATACGAACGAAAATAATACCGAGCGAATACAATACATTATTAAAGCATAGTTTCAAGTCGATATTGTTATTTCAAAATCAGCCTGTCATATCATTGTTGAATATATTTTTTACAATTAAGTATCGTGTATTTTATACGTATATGAAGGATGTAGTATAGTTCACGGACTTTCTAATTCAAAGTAACAATGAACTCAGTAAGAATATTAGAAGATAAAAATACAAGAAATTTAAAAATCAATTATATCAAAATACTAAATGTAATATTAAAGAGGATAATAAAATTAATTAGCAGGTGTGCAAGTTCCAAACATACAAACAATGAAACGATACAACAACTTTAAACATCTAAATACATACCATTAAATTTTTTCTTTATTCTAGCAATAATACTGATTGTACAATATTTCAACGATGTTCTTAATCCAATATCCATGATAATGTTATTCTGGATTTGTTTGCAAATAATCCCCGTCATTGCAATCTCAAACAAGATTAAAATATTCTGTCATAGTAGCAGTACGTTAAAAAAAATAGCATTCCTGTAAAAAATTTTCACTTCATGAGATTTATGAAAGACTTAACGATGTCTATTATGTCTAGCACAAATATTGTGCAGCTCGAGGAGAATGTTTTTAATACTTTGCAAAACGCGGAAAAAATGAAATGCACAACAGAGCAATAGCCCTAAGAGAAATTCTAACTTCACTTCCCAAACGACAGTAAAAAACTGACTCTTCTTTTCGTAATCTATAATTTTCATGCTGCAACATACGTTGCCGTAAAGCTTGGAAATGCGAGAAAACCTGGGTTTGATTGACACTTTCCCCTATACTATGAAGACAATTTTTTCTTAAAACTCAGAGTAATTGTGCGAAAATTGCAGGGGGACTAGAAGAGAAAGAATAAAAGCAACGTTTCTTCTTGGAAACATATTTATTATTCACGCGCATCGATGAACCGTCATTTTCCCCTCATGCGTAATTCACAAATTGTGTCATGCGACGGTGTCAATATTTTTGTCCCTCTCTTTAATTTTCTGCGAAATGTGTAAAGCCACGACCGCGGCCAGACGTTTCCAGACCTTCGAATAGAATGTACTTCATTGGCTACAAGTATTATAGAGTCCTGAAAATCTGCTTCTTTGTGATGGGACTGACACCATACAAACCAACGCAGTTAAGAGTACTGCATATTACGATCGTATGTTTGATATTTCCTCTCTGTGCAACAGTTTCTGTGGTAAGCACATTTCATTCGTATGAAATACAATTATTTCTAACCAATTTACTGATATATCAATGCATTATTTGCGGAAAAATTAATCTTTTATTTACACTTATGTTATCAATCGTTGCAGTTTTCTCTCGTGGAAAATAAGGATTGCACCTCTCAATTGTTTTCAGTCCAAACAAGCATTACAGTTTTAATGGCAAATATAAATATAACGTATGGTTTGTTACTAGTGAAATCTGTAAACGTAAGTTGCGAAGGTTTAATTAATTTTAACTAGTCGTTATAATGTCGTGTCATGCTGCAACACTGTTTCTGGATTTTTCAAGATAGAGGAATGGTTAAAAGATATAAAACGTGATTGGAATCATATACAAGACAAGGAAGAACTTAAAATATTCAAAACATGTGCAGTGATGGGAAATCGTTATTTATATATCTCTTTAAGTAAGAAGTAAATTAATCGCACAAGACGGCGAGAAAACGTATAATGATAATATTTAAGATGCATTGCAGTTATAGTTTCTACCAGTTATTTCATTCTTACTGTGATGCTGTTTCTTCCACATCACATTCTCGAGACTTCAATATCTACGAACAAAACTCTCTGTTATTTACCATCTATTTCAACGACGGTTCTGGAAAAATCTCGAAATTATAAATTGATTTTCATTTTGACGAATATTACAAATATTCTGATGGCATCAGTTTCCTATTGTTTTGACTTTATGTTTTCATTTACTACTTTGCATATACGTGGTCTGTACAAAATTGCAGTGTGAGTATAGTTTTGATTCTATACAAAGAGCGATTGAGTACTATGAAGTTTTTCACAATTATTAGTTACCGAATGAAAAATGCCGTGGATGGAAATTCGATAGAAATGGCCATGTCTAAGGAGGATACC